GCCCTACCATTGGGGAGGGGGGATCTGCGAGCCCGTCGGAATGTACCATTCTGTAGGATTGAGGGAGGAGAAGGCAGGAAAGAAAAAATAAAGGAATACGCAGACCTAGTTTACCTTTAGCCTCGCCGGCTTGGAAAAGGAAAGCAACCACCCACCATGATCTCCGCGACGCCTGCGCCCCCCCGCCGCTGCCATGGAGACGGCCGGAAAGGTGGAGCCCAGCCGAGGGGCCTGATTGGTCCCGTTGCGCCTCGGTAGGCGGAACCAGGGGACGTCAGGATCAGCCTTCGCCACTGGGATTGGAGAAGAGACGGGTCGCCGGGCCCAATCACTGCCGGCGGGCGGGCTCGTGCCGTCACCGTTAGGGCTGAGGGGGCGGCGCGCGCCATGGCGGGCCCGGGGTCGGGGCGATCCACGGCTGGAGCCACCCCGCTCCCCCACACGCGAGCTCTGGCGATAGTTTGAACAAACTCTGGGGGCTTTGCGGCCTAAGTGCGGCGGGGGAGAGCGATCCCGGCCCGAGTGACGCTGGGGGTTAGCGCTGCCGGTCCTCGCTCCTTCAGAGTCCGCCCGTCCCGGTGCCTTCCTCTTCTCCAGCGGGGTAGACTTACAGTTGAAGCCAGTCGTTGCTTTGCCGCAGAAGGCACAGCGTTACGTTTTCTGCACGGGCAGTGTGCCGTGAATGCCAGCCAGGTTCTCCGTGGGTTTCCAAACCTGTGGTGTGCTCTTGCCCTCTATATTTGAGAGCAGAGTTTCTTCCAGGCCTCAAAGTTGAGCAGTTACTGAGGCTGACTCTAGTCCTTTATAATCAAGTTTTCATCAAAATGCACTTGATGCACAAATGTACAAAAAGCACAATCCTCTTTTTTTGTGAATGTTTTGTCCTATGCAGAAAACATACAACAATTCTAAGCCAAATGCAGCTGAAAGTTCATTTTTCTCCACTGTTGCCTAGTAGATTAATGCACATTCGCAGCCACAGGTGATTTCTAAAAGGTGCTCTGATCCTAGTGTTTAAGATGCCTCATCACGAGCCTTTCTTACTGCCAATCAAAAGTTTTTTCCTTGTGGTTCTTCAGCTCTTTCCATTTTCTATTTTTTCCATTCTGTGATTTTATATTTCTGCAACAAACTCATACTAATTCACGACATAATTAAACAGAAGTTCTTTTTCAACTTACCCCTGCTTATTGCAGCAGTTAGGATAAATAGTACTTAAAATCTTTTTTTTTTCTTTTTTTTTTTTTTCCCCCATTGTGATTTAAAGATAAGACTTTCCAATAACTGATACAGAGAAATAGGAGTCTGTCCTCATTTCTAATGGTGTGAAAAGCTAATGGTTACGGTCTCACTAAATTTAACGGAAAACCTAAGTGTTTTGCATATTGTACTCTTGAGCTACACCAGTTCTTTGTAATGGCGGTGATCTTTCTTTCTTGTAGCATCTAATGAATTTCAGAAAGAACAGAGACAAATTGAAGTTTGGTTTACATAAGCTATTATATATGCCATTTGTGAAGAGAACGCAAAGAGCATTTTAGTTAAGCTACAGATACTATCAATTGTTCAGTGTTGCAGAAACAGAGACAGGATGGAAGCCATAATTTCTTAATGACTGCTTTATGTGACAGTAGATGAAACACTCTGTAACTTCATAGCTAATGAGCTATAAACTGTGCATTTAGTTTTTCCAGTATTAATGTTCCTTTTTCATTTGAAGAGCAACCTAACCTAGATCAGTTCTGAACTTGTCAAGAATATAAGCTTTAAACTTATTTTTTTTTTAAAAAAAAAGACAACTGCTAGTAAGAGTCAGTAGGTGGTTCCTTGTATCTGTGAAGCGCCCACAATGAAGTCAGGGTCTTTGCAGAAACAGGGCTTTATAGACAGGAGTTACTTGCACAGGGAAGGGCATTCTCTTTGCATACTTCATGCACTGGCACCTAATTGTAGGGTGCTCTATCGTTATATATGTGTTGTGGTGTGTTGTGTGTGGTTGTTGCTCCCCCTCTCCCCAAGTTTCCAGCTATACTGTGCATCTTACAGGAAAAAAAAAAAAAAAGTTTTTTATAAAAAGTTTTTTTTTCCTCTCCAGATACTGTATCTTCATTAGATACTTCTATCTTCACATGAATTTACTGTTGGATCACTAGTATAAAAATCTGAAAAACTAGATACCTGCAAGTGAGACCCTGAGATCTGTATTTACTACCTAACTGTGCTAACATGACCGAGTGTACACCTTAACACCAGAGCAGTCACACCATAACACCAATCACACCTCAACACCAGAGTAGTCTCTCTGTTGCTTGGTCGCAGCCTGCAGCAGAAGTGTTATGCATGAGATTGTGTACTCCGTGAGTGCCTAAGTATGGTTTAAGGTTTTACTGTTAGCACTGAAATGTAGGCATTGTCACCCCAGGTTTTTCTTAACCCTTCAATTTGGTTTTACTCTGAAAATTTAGGAGGGTTTTCTGAGCGAAATTGGTGAATTGTAACACTAGGTGGCACTTTAACACAGCTAACAGACTTTTATATCTTGCAACACACAAAACCAGTCAAACACATTCTGTTCTAACATGCAGTTAATTATATCCTCAAAATGATGTCTTGGATTGATATTACTAAACAAACATGTATAAAATGTAATTACAGACAAGTGAAATAAATACTGTAGGCTTATAATTGCAAGATATGTTTTTTGCTTGTAATATGCTACACACCTGTGCGTAGTTTATGTAGCTAGTATTTTATTTTGTCATTTTTACTAACATTTAGCATGGTGTGATTTAGCTTTATGTGCTTTTATTTACTAGTACCAATTTTTGCCATATGTCAGTTTTTTAAAAAAATTGAATGCTTTTATGTATTGGGTTTTTAAAACAGGAGTATTTCAAAGCAAAAACAATAAGAAATTAGGTTTTTGTACAAAACCACTTCAAAACTTTTTAAAAAAATATATTGTAGTTTTTTTCTAATTGCTTTGCTTTCCTTTTCTTTCTTTACTTACCTTTTGGAAGTACGCCTTTATTGCTATAGTAGTTTAATATCCACCTGGAGGTCCAAAGTCTATCTGTTCATAAACATTTCTTAAGTGGTACCATTGGTAAAATATACCAGGCCTACAGGACAGTTTAAGAGCCGTGAAATCCCATCAGAGCAGCTTGTGGCCATCACCTCAGCTTCTGGCAGCTTTTCCTATCAGCTGCAGAAGTGGTTGGCAGCATTTCAATCAACTGCACAAGCCCTGTGCAAAGCTGCTTTAAATTACAACAAGCTAAAAAGGCAAAGACGTGCAAGGAAATGTCCTGTCAGTGCAGGAGCAAGCTAATAAAGCATTAAACCTGGAAAGTGCAAAACTGGACTTCTAGTTCCTCTTTCATTTTCTGTTATTCAGGGAGTTGCTCTCAGCCTTGCCGCTGAAAGATCCCACACCGTTCTCTGTTCAGGGTTACAAATAAGTGTCATGTGGTAGTAAGATTAGAGCTGAAATGAAATGGTTGGACAACCCAACAACACGTTCCTTTATTTGGCAGCTAAAGATGTTTATTTGGTGTGGGAGACTGGTACACCTGTGGAATTCACACTTTGTTGAAAGAAAATTGCCAGTGCATTTAGTGTATGCTTAGACAAACTAATGTGAGCAATCTGTGAGTGCTTCTTAGAATTGCCCCAGACATCAGGAGACCTGTTTTAGGTGAACCAGAACCCAAGCAACAGACCAGGATGGGCTGAGCACCCATCAGCCGGTGCAAAAATAGTTGTCGGAACTAGAGACCCTTGGGTCAAGTTCAGAATGAGAGTTGGAAGACCTGTGGGAAAGAGGAAGAAATGAAAACTGTGAGTGCGAGGGCACAGCAGTGGTGGAACGCCAGCTGGTTTGGATGCCTGTGAAATTGCAGTATGGAACTGTGGATCTGGCCAGGCCAAACTCTATCCAGTGTCAAAGAAAAAAATAATGGTTGTGGTAGAAGGACATAAAGAAGTGAAGATTATCTTTATGCTTCAAGTAGAGATAAAAAACTGATAAATAGAGCAAAGCTAAGAAAATCAGTGTTCAGCTGCAATTTACTGGATTTTTTTTTTCTTTTGAGAAAGATCCTTTTAGGTTCTGGAACAGTCTTTCCAGGTAGACGTAGATATAGCTGTGAAACATAAACTAGCCTAGACAATACTTGAGACCGTTTACTCATACACCATTCAGTATCGTCAAGGGGATACATGCCCTAACAGGGGCTTTCCATCAGTAGTTTCTGTGGCATAGCTACTTCTTTTTGAAGATTTCAAGAAAATAGTTTGGCCCCTGAGTAACAACATTAAGCCTCCTATTAAAAAAAAAAAAAATCTACAGACCTCAACTGACTTCAGCAGAAGTACAGGTAGTAGAACGTTTTACAAGTAATTATAAAAACTGTTTACAGTAATTAGCTTGAATCTAATTGCTTCTCAGCATGTTAGGATAGTAAATTACAGCTTTATTTCAAACAACTCCTGTTGTCTGTTTTCCCTAAACTGAACACAGGAAACTCAATAAAAACAAACACTTGGAGAACCACCATTCTCAGTTCCTGTTTGAAGTATGTTGAATAGGGATGCTTAGCTTTGATCTTACAAGCAGCACTTTGCCTACCCGCACAGACTACATCTTTCTTCCCTTGCACAGTGAGAACGTATTCCTGAGAGCAACAAGAGGATGCATGTAAACAAGAGGGACAAAAATACACCTTTTGGCTCTTAAATAAGAGTCATGTCAGATGATTTATATATGAGAAGGCTGATTTTCCTAGGCTCCCTCCCTAATCAGTTCAGAGAGATAAGCTGTCCTTGAGAGTGAGGTAGGGCATGAGGCTGAGCATTTGGAGTTGCTCTGGAAGGACCAGAGGTATCTTTCTCCACAGGCTTATACAATGAGCTCTGAGAAACTGGCTTCCTCAGACTGCTGTCTATAATTATGTATCTGATCAGTGATCATCTGCTTCAAAACCAACCACAGCTGATGTCTATCACACCTGAGTGGAGGTTCACTGGAGTTCCTCCAGACCAGTCTTGCCTGCCATGTGAACAGGAAGCCTGTCAGCTTTGGCCTGATTTGAGATTCCTATTTGAAACCATAGCAAGTTTACTGAGGAGCAAGTCAGTGCCTACTAATGTTCAGGTGAATCCAATCACATGCATGTACTGCTGGTTATTTAAACAGTCTTCCAGCTGCTTTCCTACACCACTTTGAATGGGCTGGACTATTTAGCTTTGTGTCTGCTCTTGCTTAGTGA